AATCAACATGTCTGGTCGCGGTAAAGGAGGCAAAGGTCTAGGAAAAGGAGGCGCCAAGCGTCACCGAAAGATCCTTCGTGACAACATCCAAGGCATCACGAAGCCAGCCATCCGTCGTCTTGCTCGTCGTGGCGGTGTCAAGCGAATCTCAGGCCTGATCTACGAGGAGACTCGCGGTGTTCTGAAAGTTTTCCTTGAGAACGTGATCCGTGATGCTGTGACATACACCGAGCACGCCAAGAGAAAGACTGTGACAGCCATGGATGTGGTGTACGCTCTAAAACGACAAGGCCGCACTCTGTACGGATTTGGCGGTTAGACTGCAGTCTGTCAACACAACCAAACGGCTCCTTTAGGAGCCACCAAATCTCTCAAAAGTCATGACCAATAAAATATGTTCCCTGACCCACCATGGTGATTTATAAGTTACATAGCAATATCAGAACGCCTCAAAATTGTCTTTATTTGTAGGAGAGCGCCCCCTCGCCTCGCTTAGAGCCGAAGGTCGAACGACTTGTGGCAAATGTAGCCGTCTGTCTGCGAATCATTCCTACTCCAATATTTTTAACTAGCTCTCGAGTAAACTAGTCTTTTCTTTTTTTGTGGCGGAGCAAGTACTCCTAACCTGACTTGCCCAAGGTTTTCTTGCGCCAGTTCAAGAGGCCTGATTTGTCATGAAGTCACTTCTTTGGCGCATTTTCTTTAACGCTCGTTTCAAATTTCGCGCGAGTGTTTCAACAGATAGATTCGCGAGCGTAGGCACGAAAAGACCGGTAACAAATACAGTCAACCGCCTTTGTATACTGTGAAGACAGAAAAATACAATAAAAATAATGTTGCAGTACCTATTCGTTGGGTTCTATCAATTAAAAGCAGACTTTGTGCTTTCCGTGCGTGTCGCATACATAAAGCGCGGGGTTATTAATATTTCGACATGAGGAAAATGTATGTAAATTCGTTGGTCACGACTTTTATAATATTTGGTGGCTCCTAAAGGAGCCGTTTTTGTGGTTGAAAGCTTATTTAGGCTTTCGGTTTCTTCTCGGTCTTTTTGGGCAGAAGTACAGCCTGGATGTTCGGTAGAACACCTCCCTGTGCAATGGTGACACCGGCGAGCAGTTTGTTCAACTCCTCGTCGTTACGGACAGCCAGCTGAAGGTGACGGGGGATGATTCTTGTCTTCTTGTTATCACGAGCAGCGTTGCCTGCCAACTCGAGGATTTCGGCGCTTAAATACTCAAGCACGGCAGCCAAATACACTGGAGCACCGGCGCCAACACGCTCAGCATAGTTGCCTTTGCGGAGAAGACGGTGGATACGACCGACGGGGAACTGAAGCCCTGCTCGGGATGAGCGTGTTTTGGACTTGGTGCCCTTTGCCTTTCCTTTACCTCGACCAGACATGATTGAAATCAAACCTCACGAGAAATAGTCTATGAGAGAATGTAACTAAAGTGAAGTTCGACAAATTTTATGTGCCATTAGTCGAATATAGAGGATTGAAATGCACCAATAAGAACTTTTCATTTGACACGGTAAAACAAAGACAAAAGGGGTATAAACAAACCACATGCAAAATAATATGACCCCTGAGGTATAACCAATCAGCAATCGAGAATTTCGATCCTTATGGTAATTGATCCTTTCAAATTTTATTATAAATACAAAATGCATCATTCAGTCTTCATTCAAATCCATTCTGATCTACAGATATGGCACCCAAAGTTGCAGGAAAGAAAGGCGAGAAGAAAGCAGGCAAGGCAAAGGCTGCGGCTGATGGAANTATTTAAGCTTTGGGTTTCTTCTCCGTCTTTTTGGGCAGAAGTACAGCCTGGATGTTGGGAAGAACACCTCCCTGTGCGATGGTGACACCGGCGAGCAGTTTGTTCAACTCCTCGTCATTGCGGACAGCCAACTGAAGGTGACGGGGAATGATTCTTGTTTTCTTGTTGTCACGAGCAGCGTTGCCCGCCAACTCGAGGATCTCAGCGCTCAAATACTCGAGAACTGCAGCCAAGTACACTGGAGCTCCGGCGCCAACACGCTCAGCATAGTTTCCTTTGCGAAGAAGACGATGGATACGACCAACTGGGAACTGAAGCCCTGCTCGGGATGAGCGGCTCTTGGACTTGGTGCCCTTTGCTTTTCCTTTACCGCGACCAGACATGATTGATTGTAAAACTCACGAGAATAACTTTCTAAGTGAATGAAACAGAATTGAGAGGCGCCAAAATTTATTTGCCATTAGTTGAATAAAGAGGATCGAAATGCACCAATAAGAACTTTTAATTTGACAAGGTACGATAAAGTCACACAATAGTATAAAGAAACATCATGCGAAATAATATGACCCCTAAGGTCTGACCAATCAGGAATCGAGCATTTCGATCCTTATGGTAATTGAACCTTTCAAAATTACATTATAAATACAAAATGCATCATCCAGTCTTCATTCAAATCCATTCTGATCTACAGACATGGCACCCAAAGTCGCAGGAAAGAAAGGGGAGAAAAAAGCCGGTAAGGCAAAGGCCGCGGCTGATGGAAAGAAGAAGAGAAGGGGAAAGAGAAAGGAAAGCTATGCTATCTACATCTACAAGGTGTTGAAGCAAGTTCATCCCGACACTGGTATCTCAAGCAAAGCCATGGGCATCATGAACTCGTTCGTTAACGACATCTTCGAGCGCATCGCCACCGAAGCTTCCCGTCTTGCCCACTACAACAAGAAATCAACCATCAGCTCACGCGAGATCCAGACCGCCATCAGGCTACTTCTGCCCGGTGAACTGGCCAAACACGCCGTGAGTGAAGGAACCAAGGCTGTGACCAAATATACCAGCAGCAAGTAAACTCACTTTGTGGGTTTCCCGCTAAAACAAACGGCTCCTTTAGGAGCCACCAAATGTTATAAAAATCAATGACCAACAGCATAGTCTTTTGTGCCTGATTTCAATAGGCCTTTGTCGTAATGCGCATAAGACCGCTCTTACGACATTCTAAGCCTCCCGCCTAAACTAACGGCGTGACTAAAGTGGTCGCATAAACGTGAAATGTCTACTGTGCGTTCCGAATCTATCTTATTCTTTGATGTTCGATTCAACGTGAACCTACTTAATTTCGTTTTCTGGCTCCTGTTCGTGTTTAATAGAAATATGAAAGAAAAAGGCAAATCTTTGTGGAGAAATAAATTTGATAATGTAAGGCGACTAGGTCACGCAGGAGGTCCAAAAGATCGCGTATTTGTCGTTCTCTTATTTCGCGCGTGTTCAACGAAGTTTTCGCATCTGATAGCCAGCGGGACCTCGCGCGCGAGTAGTTCGTTTCGTGCGCGAACGTAACGTGCCCAATTACCATATTCTCCTCGCGCCTTCTCCAACGGCACTCCCACTCCCTCACTAACTAGGAAAGGGAATTTTGAAACACTGATAAAGGGACGAGAAGCAGTAAGCCAGTGTGATATTTGTCGCCGAGCGGCCATCGGTCGTGTCTAGTCTCGTCTTCTCATCAGTAGTAAGTCCACAGGAGAGCGTTTTATTACAAATGGGATATCCGGAAGTACACAGGATTTTAGTTAGCCTGCAAATACTGTCACGTTTTGCAGTCTATGTCACCTCTTATATCTCGGCAATATGATGATAACAAAAAAAATTTGAAGAATAAGCTTTTGCGCACACGTGTGGCAAGCACGTAGCCGTTTAAAAGGGGAAGGAACAAATGTGACGCAAGGTTTTGGTGCTTTAATGGATTTTCTTTCGAAAAATTTCCTGCGATCAGCCTCCACACAAACATACGCTCTCCATGCCGAGAGTGCTAGCCAGTTTTTAACCTGAGATCAGGGAACGCCTGATCGCAGGTGTAATAGCAAGTTTTAGGACAGGAATTTGTATTTTACCAGAGAGATGGGCTCCTGATTTTATTTAGAATTTGGCTTATGCATAGTTGACAACTGACCAGCATCAAGACCAGAGATCTGAGATGAGCTGTAAACGTCTTTTATTGAAGTTTCTTCTTGTTTTGCGGAGTAAGCAAATAGAATGGTAGCCGTAGTGAAATTCATAATTATTTTTTAGTGTTTTATCGTCAAAGTGCGGTGTAGGGGCGATTTTCAGCTTCAAGTTTGGACGCTAATACTTCACCGCTTAGAGGCCCTGTCTCTCCCCTCCCCACTGCCGTCACTTTCTAGGTATTTCCCATTGATCTTTGCGGGTGTAGTTCGTCTCCGCCATTTTGGCACGTGTGCAAGAAAAATAACGGAAAATTGAGTTTATCGTAATTTCAAAGGCTTTTTCTTTGTTTTCAAACGGCTTGAGCCGGTGATATTTCTTGATCTGGGTCATAAGCCAAATTTCTTCACCTTTTTACTTGTCGGAACCAGGAGGTGGAATGTGGAGACGTTTGTTGACAACCTCTGAGGACCGTCCCTGGACGAAGGTAAGCTGAGGCAAGCGCGCTTTTACATTGTTTTGCGTTTTGATCACCTTATAGTTTGATTACATAAATACTTGACTAGGTAATATGATAGGACATAAGCGTTGCATGTGTATCCATCAGAGTTTATTCTGCTTTTAAGAGGCACATAAACTGAGAAACATGTAGCGCAATATTTCTGGTGGCCATTCCATTTAATATCCGCACCCCTCCCCCCTCCCCCTTATTGAGTGACTTTGAATTTTACTCCCTCAGAAAAGTTAACTTTTTACCCCCTCCCCCATTACCAAGAAAGGAAGATCAAAGTGAGAACATGCTTCCCCAAAGGTGCTGACACAATTGCCCAGGTTGGGAAACGGCCTTTAATGACTTCCCGCTCCCCCTCAGATTTCCTAGCACCTCAATCGGGGGAGTGGTACAGATAGAAAAATGTAATGGATTCTTAGTTTGCAGATAAATTCGCAAAGGAAAATCGGAAAAAGAAGGCACCTTTTTGACAGAAGTTTGCAAATTATATTTTATGTACAAATGTTCAAATGTGGACTATGCTTAAGGACATACGTGCTAATTCTTGCGTATCCTTACTGTGCACACAAACTCATGCGCCACATCATGCATCAAGCGCACGCTGAGTAGTAAAATGAGCAATGATACGGCAGATGGCCATTGGTATAGTTTTGCCTGGATTTAACAATCTTGGACGTTTGGTGACCCCTATTTTTCTTTTGATGGATCAGTTTCTCTACTGATTTTCTATGTTTAGAGAAAAAATGAAGAAAATCTATCAATTAGAAATTTGAATGTTTTGTAAAATGCATCATCCAATTCCGTTCTTTTTAGCTCTTCATTTATCTGTGCGGCAGTTTCAAATGCCTCTTGAAGGGTTAAGTTTTATGAAAACATTGGCAACATTTGGAATTATTTACACAACAGATTCACTTATACAAAATATTACTAGGATAGTTTGTCTCCATTGATTCATCTTTGATATCTTAAGCTAAAAACCCCAGAGACCATAGTGATTTACATGCACCAATATTTCATAATCAGACTAGTTTTCCACATACTTTATCTCTGGAATGTAGTCTGTGGGCCCCCAATTTTTCTTTCACTTTGGAAACAAGCAAATCACTATCTGTGTGCAGCAGAAGTTAGAAGAAAATCTATTGAGTAGAACATTTTTGTGCGAACATCCTTAAGCTTATATTTTAAATTTGTTTCATGTTTAGAAGCTTATCCTCTGCATTTCCAATGACCTTCCAAAAGCTTGGTATGGATAATTGCGGGACAGCACAATGCGTTCATGTGTGGGCTTATATTTTGACACCAATAATGTAATAGAGCCATGCTTAACATGAGCCATTCCAATAGCAACAAAGATTGGAATTGGGTGATGAAATCAAAATTCTCTTGTACAGTGTGTGCATACAACTTAGTGGCAAATTAAACAAATTCCATTCTTTTGTTATCTTTGTCAATGGTTTGTGGTGCTAGAAAACCCCTGCAAAAAAAACCTTCCCTACTTTTACATATGTGGGAGGATGGCAGTCACATAGATATATGTGCCTCTGTGTTGGGACCATGCTCCCTTTACAGCACATGTTTCAACTAAACACTGATATTAATCTTTTTTTCCAGATGAGATTTTAACAGAACACCAAATGGTTCATGGCTTCCTGCAGTCAGCATGTAGCATTTATCCAGGTAAGCAAACTGATTAACAATTCTTGATTAACTTAGTCAAATATTCACCAACTACCAATTGTGGTATGAAATATTTTGCATGTTTTAATTGTTGTGATTTTTGCTGTTTTTTTTTTTTTTCCATGACGTTTGTAAACAAAATCGTGCAAAAAAAATGTTGCTGCAAACATTTTTCCAGCAAATAGTATCCAGCTCCTGAAAATCCATGTAATCCATATCACCAGTAATAAGCAATTTGCTTCTCTCTACATTAATTAGAAGCATGCCTTTTGGTGGAACTTCAATATTGAATTACACTATTACACATTGTCAAAGAACCATATGATACAAAGCTATGAGATTCCATGTTCATACAATTATATTGAAAATCAATCAGCCATTTGAACGACACATTTGACAGTACCCTTCCCTGGTGAAAATCTTTCAAGGATCTTCAAGTAACCTTGAGGATCTTCATGAGGATCTTTGTGAGGTTCCAGTTTCAGTTCCAGTTTCCAGTTTCAAAGTATAAAACCAAACTCGACATACAGTGTACGCGTGCATTGTCTCATTCCCAAAGGTAAAATTATCACGTGGTAAAGTTCAGTCAACTGGAATGAAGTTCATCGCATACAAAGCTTAAAGTAATGATCGGCTCTTGGAATTATTAATAACAAGAAATCAACCATCAGCTCCCGCGAGATCCAGACCGCCATCAGACTGCTTCTGCCCGGTGAACTGGCCAAGCACGCCGTCAGTGAAGGAACCAAGGCTGTCACCAAGTACACCAGCAGCAAGTAAACTCACTTTGTGGGTTTCCCGCCAAAACAAACGGCTCCTTTAGGAGCCACCAAATGTTATAAAAGTCAGCGACCAACAGCTCCTTATACGAGTAACTCATATGCGCGCTTGTTATCTCCTGTATTTTCGCTGTTCTAATTTCCTCCCACTGCATAGGAAATGTCAGCTATTTTTCAAGTTCTTCCCCAATAAACCTGATCTTTAACAGAAATAATAGCCTGCGAACAGGCTCCCGGCGAACTTGAACGCTTCACTCCCCGAATTCTTCAGTTTCGCGTTGCTCGCCGAATTTTTTTTCCATCCTCGCCCAGAGCCTGTTCGAAGATTAAGACAAAAAAGTGATAACGGCAAAGCGGTTAGTTCAAGCGCACGCTGAAAACTGAGAATTTACAGGCTTTCTCCGAGCAGAGTCTCCCTCGAAGGAGTATCGGGCCACCCCGCTTCCCTAACTTTGGAAAGAAGGGAAAAAAAAGGCTCGGAAACTGTTTGGGTTCGCCTTTATCGAGTTTGCGTTTAATCGAGTTTTTAAAATTTATTTAAAACAATGTAGGTTATGATTATGGTGCTTCGAGTAGTGCTTCTTTCACTTTATCCGTCGTCGTGTGTGACGCGAAAGAAAACCGAGAAAAAAAATGGCCGTGCGAAATTGTGGGGGAAAGATCAAGAAGAAGCGCGCTTCTAGCCCCCAGGATTTCGCGGGTCTTTTTTTCCTCGTGGTTTATTGACGGTCTCGCTCGACGGACTAAGCGAAAAAGGGACTACTCGTAAGCTGATTTAAACCTGCCATATAAGTTGTCAAATAACAACTAGGGTGAGCTTACAAAATAAAATTTAAGCCTAGACAATGATAAGATTTCTTCGATCGAATGATCATGATAACCCTCCCTCGAATAATTGCCCTTCCGCCTCTTGAGCTTTGATGGGATTGTTTTAAAATAATCTTCTCACTTCCGATCCCCTCGAATAATTGCACAAGACTGATCGAGGAGTAGCCATTCATGCAACAAGCCAGTGTACGTCGAGTGTAGACAATAAAGATATGTTAGATTTTTTGCGGTGATCTGTCTATTGGATTGATTCCAAACCAAGGGCCCGTTTCTCGAAAGCCCCAGAACTTTTCGGGCCTGTAAAGCAATTTTTGGTCAATCTGTATCTTAAAACAAAGCGGTGCATACGCCTGAAACTCCTTGTACGAAGAGAACCTCAGTTCATATTAAGAATGCGTGAATAAAACAGCTCTGTAATCATAAGGTTTGAGATTTTGCCACGGCTTCTCGGGTACGAAAACGTTTTGGGACCTTTGAGATTGAGAAATGGGCCCCTGGATCTGGACTGGAGCCCAGAGGCCCGTTTCTCGACAGCCCCGCCGGAATCTTTTCAGGCCCGAAAAGCCATTTTAAGTTAATCGCTATTTAAAGACAGAGAGGTGTACACACCTGAAACCTCTTGTATGAAGAGAACCTCTGTTCGTATTAAGAAAGTATGAATAAAACAGCTCTGTAGTCAAAAGGTTTGAGATTTTGCTACGGCTTTTCAGGTGCGAAAACTTTTCGGGACCTTCGAGATCGAGAAACGGGCCCCAAGTCCGGGTAATGGGTTCCAAACTGTGTATCGTGACCTCAAGGGTTCTCCTTATTCGTCTGTACTGCCTTGACGTTGATTAATGTTCTTCCATGTTTACAAACAAAAATTTAGAAGGGAAAATGTCAACTGAGTTATTTGCCGCTTTTTCGGGGGTGGTTTTTCGAGAAAAAAGAGAAAAAAGTCGTTACTAGTTGGGAGGGTTTTAGGGCTCTCACACATACGGTCAGCAGGCTTACCCAAGAAACTCACGCGCCAGAGTTGATCTCGATACGACTACTCAACAACTTGGGTTAGGAGGTAGAGAACTCATTACAAACTTCATATTCCGTGGATTTTCTGGTAACGTAGATTTTTATTCTCAATCTACTCTTTGAAGTTGAAAAATTGTTGAATGTTTTGCGTACATGATTCATACTGGCGATTCGTTCGTGGCCCGTAATACCGGAACAATAAATTGACGTATTACGTGGCCAATACACTAATATTAGCTCGTGGTTGCTACAATTCTGGATTTACGATTATGGGTAACTGTGAAGTTATCGTGATCTCTAGTGAATATTTTCGAAAGAAACTTCCGAGCTGAGCAGTCTATTACGTTTCGTTGTGTGGCTCAACTTATTCAATCTCGTCGACTCTTCAGCTGAAAAATTGACTGACTCTTGGTCGATCTTCTTCAGTTGAAATGCTTCAAAGATCAGAAAGCTCTGGCAATGAATGAATGAGTGGACTGTACACTTGATCTTAGTTCCTAATAGTTGAGCGAAGTAGAAGCCCCGTTTGTATCAAATCCCTAATGGTATGCGATACCTTTGATTGATACCCTCGATCGATAGTCGATCGACACTCCATGCACACCTCGGTTGACACTCGATTAAAACTCCATCAACATCTTGGTGAATAGTCAAGCAATTTTTGATCAATTCATATGTATTGACTCGATCAGTCGACACACCGACAACTATCGACTGACTGTTGATCAAGTGTCGATAGAGTGTTGACTGAGTATCGATCGGGATGTCGATTGAGTACTGATCGAGATGTTGATCAACGGTATCGATTGAGAGTATTGATTGACACTTGAGTGCGGATGCCTTTAGTACACATGATCCAAAAAGACATACTTTTCTGTGGGAACTGGGGTTTGAGTATAGCCTTACAAGAGTTTTCAAACAGTATTTTAAGTGTTAGCTAGCCACTGGTGAAAGGTCGTTGCATTACTTTTTTCAAAATAAATGTAGTTTTTATTTTTTCCACCCACAGTTATGGCACCTCCTCAGCTTCGGGGTTTTGTACAAAGGGGTCTTCAAAGGGCTATTATGAGATCTATAGTTGTTGGCATTGCTGCTGGTTGTGTATGGAAGTTCGGCTATGCAGATCCTAAGAGAAGGCAGTATGAAGATTTTTACAAGAACTATGATGCTGTGAAAGTTGCCAAGGAGATGTACCTAGAGTCACAGGCTGAAGAGGGAGCATAAGAGGTATAGATTTTAACATTGTGATTATATACGTATTTGTTAAGGAGTAGTGTGCACAGCATCATCATTGACAATGTTGGTTGTTTACCAGTTACCCAAAAATTCTGGAAATTTCAGTCAGAATGTATCTTTATTGTAAGAAAGTTTTGGCTGAACTGACTGGAAAATGTTTGAATTAAACAGAACATATTGAAAGGTACTGTCATCCAAAATTTCCAACTGAAATATCCGAGTGGAAATGTGCTTACTATTTGCGATTATCTTGGCATTATGATCAGGTCGAACTTGTCCTAGTCTCTTTCTTTGCCAATCTGGCATTTTTCCTTTACATATTGCACAAACTAGTTTGTTGATGAACTGGTTTCTCCGTGCAAGTGGTAAGCAACCATTTTCACTAGTGTCATCATCATCATCTTTGCTTCATCATCATCGTGATTATCTGTGATTATCCAATACCTCACTTTTTGTCATCAGCACTATTTACATGTAACTTTGCCGAGTAAAAACAAAATTTAGCATCAAGAAAACAAGAAAATAACGCAAGTGACTTTGTCTGTGGCTAATGACATTTCAACCAAGTCCTGGAGAATTCAATAGTCACTAGAGTGAAGAGTGGTTTTTGCCACGTTTCTTAAGTTGTCTTAGAGGTAAATATCTCATCTCAAATGAACACTGTTACTTCAAATTAATGCCAGCCTGGGTATTGATTTAACTATCAGTCTTGTAGACCCAGCAGTTATTTTAGCCTGGCATTTTGATTGGACCCAGTCCAGTGTTTAATGAAGAAAATATAGCCTCATTGTTCCCCTCTGGGCTGGCAGGAGGGTGGATAAGCTAAGTGGGTTAATTCAAGCAAAACAATGTTGATCAGAAAAGAAGTTACTCATATTGAATAGTTCCTTACCCCACAGTTTGTCCAATGTTACAAGCTAAGGAAAGTTTTCCAAGTTTGTAAGAGGGAAAAGATCTGTCCACTTCAGATTAACATAAAATTGTGGCACTGTAGCACCAGCATAAAGTGCGTCAGGCCAGACTAAACATTACACCGGCTTTCAGTGTTATGTGCATAGCAACTATCCTCTTGACATGCCATCTTTTGACATGCTATGTAACCTGGCCTAGGTCAAAATGTAAGCACAAGTGCCTTCTTTATGGTCAAACTCAACTTTTAGTCATGAAAGCTGGATTTATTTGACATCAAACTAAGGCTAGGAGCATCAAGGAAACATTCTGTGAGGGATAAATCAACTGCTTTGAATGTTTACATCTTTCGAATATCAACTGAGCGGCAGTGGCCCAATTCTACCGGAAGTTACTATTGAGAGCCGATCCACTACGCTAAAATCATTTGAATTATCCCGTAAATCAGGAGTCCACAATCTTCTTCGTTCATTTGAGGTCAGTGATTATCATATACTTGTCATTTGTTCCGCTAAGAACTGGAAAAATTGCTAGTTTCACAGGTATACTGTATTTCAGCCATACTTAGCATGTCGAAAGATGGAATGTCGAGAGATGGTCGAAAGATGTCGCCTATGCACGTAATGCTGAAAGTGGGTGTAAACAGTCTAAAGAAAAACCAAAATCATCACCCATCCATACAACATTCAAAGAACTGATTCTTTCCTTTGTAGATTTGCTGACTTTGAAGAACTTTGTGGAAGTTGCAATTTTGCATGATTATTTACATAAATGTATCTTCTTTTGTGTGAATAATTTTTTTTACATATGTTGATAAGGCTGGCATGCTAAGGTTAAAATTAAACTGTGAATATATTGTGAAAACACTTTAAATGGTTTTGTGTGATGTCAGTTGTCTGATTAACCTGTTATCTGAGTGGACTTTGTTTGAAATAAATTGAGTTATGCAATGGCCTTGACCATTCAATACAGGTATTTGTCCTTTATGGAATGTTTAAATGAATCATGTTCCCCTGATTTACATTTTTCCTTGAATTTTTGTCAGAGTTGCAGCCCTGTGGGGTTGGGGAGGCCTACCATGTTGTCTGAAAATCTGAATTAAACCTCTTAAGGAGACCAATCTGGGCGTCACTCATTAGTAGACCAGACTTGAGAGACTGGCAGAAATCAAGGCTAAAAACAGTAGTAAGAGGGTTTCTTTCTTTAGCTATTTTTTTGAAAGCACCCTAAAAGATACTTTGACAGCTAAAAGTGGTGACGTTTCATCATCAACACTCTGAGTGAGACAAGAATTCTTGATTTGTACCCCAAAGTGAGACGACAAACATCCCTGACTTCTTCACATAGGAGTCCCCCCCCTCCCCTCACCGAAGGTGCAGACTTGCGTTGAAACATCCTTGAAATATTATGATTGAGACCATAGCCAAATACACCTTTTTTACAGATATGGCTACCATTTTGATTTCTATTAATTTGAGACATTGTGGGATGTTCAGGGGGATAGTTAGTATGTAGTTGCCCCTCAAGCATCCCATAATAGCTATTTGAAACAATGAAATGTAAAATAAGGGCTGTATCGGTGAAAAGGTCTATTGAATTAAACTTCTCTTTACAAACCTCTCTCTACATAATACAGACATCTCTCTTTTAGTAATCGTAATTGGACCGAGTGGAGTACAATTCAGGGAGTAATCGCACGAGTAATTCAAAATCGAACAGGCGTGAAGCAGGAGGTGAATTTGAAATTACGAGCATGATTACTCCCTGAATTGTACAACACAAGGTCTAATTACTAATCAATCGTATCTATAACAAATTTCAGAATTAAAATGTCTTTTGAGATCTTCTTTTGAGCAAGAATGTCTGTAATGCTTTTCATAAGTTTTGAAAACTGTAGGGAACAGTGTGAAGGAAGCCATTAAAGAGCGTGTAATTGACATTCAAATCATGTGGGTATCCAATTACAGGTATCCAATTAGGAAAAATTCAAATTGGATACCTGTAATTGGACTCCACTGTGATTGCGCGCCGATTACGTGACAAATAGGCTCGCAGAGAACCAATCACGATCAAGAATTTTGTTATAGGTACGATTAATAATAATAATGTGGACTTGCCTGTTCAAGCAAAAAAGAGAGGGTCTTTCCCACACTGCAATAATTTTTTCCTCACTAATTTTTTTTCTTGTTGTTTTTTGTGCTATTCCCCAACTAACCAAACACCTGTAAGATGCTATTGTGGACAGTTCATTGGTCCCAGCAAAAACCCTGGATATAGTCGCTGTAAAAAAGAAACCCTCCATGATAAACATTCCTTCTAATATGGCTAACAGACACTTACCTTTGGCCCCAGAGAGTAAAATCATAAACTTAACCTCATTGTAATAGACAAATCATTCACCTTTTAAGGATTCTTACCAAGTAACACCACACTAAACAAAAATAATATTAACACCAAATATCTTATTTTATTTTAATAACTTAGCATGAAGCTTCCTAGTTAGTAAGCACTACAAAAATAACACACTTTCTAGAGAACAAACTTATTAGCATTAAATTAGGGACATTTAGGGACCAAGAAAACATTTTGACTTGGTCAGCACCATTATACTAAAGATAATTTGACCAAAAACATAATTTGGCAATACATGTACGACTCTTTAAAACATGCCAATCTCTGCTGCTTATTAAATAACAGAGTGCCAGAATACTAACAAATGTCTTTAATTATTAAATATGTTCCATTTTTTCTGATAGAAGTGTTACTTTCACTAGCATAAAGCAACTTACATTGTCATAAACTGGCAGTAATCAAAGATTACGAGAGTGTGTTTGACGCCTTTACTTTCATACCTTAGCTGACTTTCAACTCCTGTCTTTTGTTAAAATCAAAATTTTTATATCAACAAAGTTTATACACAGATATAAAACATGATGAAAACATCTGGTATTTTCCTGTGGTTTTCGGGTTAGCAACTAGAGGTCTGTCTATAAACTATGATTTGTTGTCACTAAGACCATTTTTACACAGTTCAGGCTTGACATAGTGCATGGCCAACAAATAAATTAGTCATGTAACACATCATGACACAGCAGCTACAGCACTAGCATTGGCATCCAGCTGTTCTTAAAATGATACCTAGCATTCCAAAGTAAATGAACACCATAGTTTACAGAACATTTTACTTCTCACTCACTGCAGGGAGCCATGGCAAGCCGAACCACACAGCCTGACCTTTATTAACATAACAACATAACTGTCTTACAACAGCACAAAAAAGTGGCTAAATAAATTCGCTGCAACTGGTACACTTTAAAAATACTTCACAGGTGGGTGGGTGGTAGATGGCAACGGTAGATGGTAAAAGCCACATGACCTGCAACCCCCATACACTTGTACTCAGACTCCCAGCCGTGTGTGAGAAAAATGTTTTCTGCTTCACTCGTTCCTCAGCCAACGGAAAACCACACATTCTACAGCAAAAGTAAAAAATTCATTTTTGAGGCCACATTCCATACTAAATCTCCAGGCTCGTTATGTACAAGAAACAAACTTACACTAAAATCAAAATTTGCCTTCAGCATGTAACAGCCAATCTTAATTATCTTAAAATAAGATCCCATATCGCTCACTTTCAAGAAGCTACTAAAAATATTAACACTGGTCTCTATTGATCCCAATCATCTATTGAAATGGCTCTTCGCGCCGTTTCAGGCATCATTGATTTCAGTCATGGATGAACAAAAAGTTATCGTTTGATGAATTTGATGATCAACTGATCAATGAAACCTTACAGAAATAATGTTAACTCAAGTGGCTCTCTTTCCACTGTTTCATGTTAGGGAAGATTCTCTGCAGAAGTATGCAAGTTTGCAAAGTTTTTGTGTGTGTGTGTGTTTATTGTGTGTGCAGTGCATTCAACATGTTAAAGCTCAAGATACGAAAGATACCAATTATTTTAAATTATCAAATGATCACTTTTCATTGAATCTACAGCTGAAAAAAATGGTGTGTGAAGCAACCTGAAAAAAGCAACATTTCAATTCAGACACTTGGAATCAATAGTATCAAAGTTTCAGACCTATTTTTTAGGCCTCCATCCAGCAATAAGTTTTAATATTTTCTTGCACTCAAATGCACTCAGTCCAAGTGCCTTAAGCTCCTCCTCTTCCAGGCTGACAAGCAGCTCACCATCCACATCATTATCGGTGAATATTTCGATATAATTTTCAAAGCGGAAGTGCCTCAAGAACTGTGACACTTCACTTATTGACATCTGTGACAGGTCATCAGGCACAACAAAGTTTTCATCTTTCTTCTGTGATGCAGGCTTCCTCTTTATAGAAGGTGGTTTTGGCTTTATAGGGGGTGGTTTGCTTTTTATCTCAGGCTTACTCCCATCCAAGCCCTCCTTGGGTTCAACTTTAGGTTTGCGTGGGGGTTTAACAGGCTTTTGTGTTGTTGGTGTATTGTTGCTGTCTTTTACTGGTGTTTGGGAAGGACTGTCGTCTAATTGTATATAAACATCATCTTCATCATCATTATTTGGTACTGGTTTATTTGAATTTTGATCCAGAGATTGAGTGGCCACTGCTTCAGGTGAGGTACCAGATGGTGGAGCTGTATCACCACTTTTCTCTGATTCCCGTGACGTTTTGGGTTTATCAAGCTCAGATTCATCAATATACAAGTATTCATGGCTGTCGTCATCACCAGAATCTTGTGAATCTTTGTAATTGCTTGCTTCAACAACTTGGGAATTTGAACCCTCTGAGGAGCTGTCACGTGGAGGCACAGGGGGTGGGGGAGTATCATCTACCACATACTCATACTCTCTTATTGTATCCCTTGATGCATATATGTTCTGAATTTCCATGTTCTCGACCTTATGAAGACTTACACCATCATGGAAGATGCGGCAAACACGGACATAATCCTTGTCATCTGACAGTGCCCCACGGGCCACATTGACTGTGATTGGAAGATGTTTAGGGCAATTCACCACTGTTCTAACATTACCCTCTTTGGTGGAGCAGATGACAGTTGTATCTTGGTAAACCTTTTCAAATGACAGGACACCAAGGGAAGTGTTGAACACATTCTCGCTTGATCTTCGAGTTATCGATGGAGGATCCGTGAACTGAAAGTAGATTGGCAACTTCAGCGATGACGTCGACAGTTCCTTCAGGTAGTACTCTCGCCCATCAAGCAAGGACTGGAATCCAGCGCTAACACTGAAAGGTAATCGGATAGGGTTCCGTTCTTCAGTTCGAAAGAGAACGCAGTCCTCCTTTCCTCCAATTCCGAGCTCCACGCGAATCACTTCCAGTTTGTCTCCGGGATTCACGCTCACTGCCTCTTCCTCCAGATAGTAGCCTTGAGTGACCCTTACAAACTTCGTTGGGATTCTGCTGACCTCTTCCACCGTTTCGTAAATTCCTCGAAAGTCGGCCGGACGAAGTTCCACCTTCTGCGAACAGTTGAGAGGGATATGTAGCTCCCGTTTCTTCCGATCTCGGGCTAACACTTTCTCCGTCGTTTTAAAACAATGCAGTGTCATTACCTGCTCGGCACCGATGCAAGAATCTTCAGTGGGTCCATAGTAACCTTCTTGAACTTTGACTATTTGTGGAAGAGGAAAGCGATCGACGAAATCAGAGAGTCTGTACTCGATGTCACTCCATACCAAGTTGTCTAGAATTGGATCTTTCACTTTTGTCGTAGCCATTTTATCGCTCTAACAGCATACTCAGCTCACATTCAGAATATGTTTCTCTCGATTTCCGGCAGGGAGCGGTTCTGACTACTTTGAATCTCGGCGTCTAGAAGTCCTTCCCGATCCAGCGGTAAAACAAACAAGGGATATTATGTACATTTAATAGAACACATAGTATCCCCGAGCGAGAAAAAATTGGTCAATATTAGCTTTCAGACTTTCACTGTGGAAATTCTCGATTCATGAGGATTATGGCTATTCTGCTACAGCACAATCTGTGATAGCGAAAAACGACCAATACTTTTTAGGACCTTACTTATTTTTCTTCCTGGACTAGATCCAGGTTCCCTCCGTCACCAGCAGTTCACCTTGACCACATCACTGGAGGCACAACGCGCGCAAGGTCTGATCCCCTCCAAGCTGGCGAAAAATGGACTGGCTGATGATCCTTCTTTCGCCATTTGTCGTGGTATTCGTTTATCCTGTAGTTCTCCTTATCATGATGTACGGTAGTGCAGTATTTCTTCACGTCTATCGACACAGGAGGCGCGAAATTTATGATGCGTATACGGGCAATTTTTGGGAGGGCGCTATGCAAACCGTGGCGGCTGTGTTCGATTCACATGGTTCCCTTTGGCACGGTAAGTTCAGTAATTTATGAACACTTTATTTCCATGTCGTATTGTTACGCAAGTGCGAAGACTTAAACAACTTAGTGTTTTCTCTTCATTATTTTTCATTTAAAAAAAAAAAAAAAAAACGTGCGCGCGACAGAGTATTCTAGAGCGTAAAACCAAGTCTTAAACTCTCCTCATAATCTTAAAGAGCTTATATTTGATGCGGTTTCTGTTTATTATTTTCGCGTCGTTTTGGCTTTTTTAATTGCATCGGGGTGTGTAAATATAGCTATACAAGTATTTAGGACCAAATTTCCATGTGTGAGAAGGAGAACATTTTTTTCACGTCAGGGTTTTGCTTGCATGATTTAAGCCTGTGTGTGATCTTGAAATTGGAGTACAGGAAATTCTCCATTACTCCCGGGGGTAAATCGGTTAATTATTGGCGCAGCTATTTCTAATTTTTTTCCTAGAGTAAGTATGTCGTTAACCCATAGAAAGTTGCCATTTTCTATAAAGCACCAAATTTTGATTTTCTTAATATACCATCTCCTATCATTAAATATAACATGGTTACTAATAAATAAATTTTATTGGCTCTGACACATGCATTGATTAAAATAAGCACAGGAAGTAACAACCGGAAGTGGTTGACCTGCCTAGGGTCAAGGTAAACCTTGAACAGAACATAGTGGGGTTTAGATCACATCACTGAACATCAGTATCAAATGGATTTGATTTGTGCATAATTAATAGAGGGGAATGGTTATGAAGCCCGGCAAACATCAAAGGAGCAAACAAAGATGCCAAGATTTATGTTGGAAGGTCCACAACCGTGCAAAATCTTTTGTTTTGCGCTCATACACTATGCATGAATTACGTAACCAACACATTTCTATTGGTTAGTTCCTCAGTACAGAGTAAACAGCTATTGTGTTGTGCACGGTCAAGGCCAAAAAGCGAACAAAAACATTCAACAAAGAACTTTGTCGGGTTTCATAACCATTCCCCTCTATTAACTATGATTTGCATTATTAACACTGATGTAACCTGTGTCAGGCATTTGAAATCATTCTCATCAACTTGGTGATAATGGAAATGCAGAAAAGATGATTAGCCGTAGGCCAATGTTTTCTACATAAAGCAAAGTGTTTTTTGTCTTGCACTCTCTTTTTTATAAGAATATATTTTATAAGAATATTGAGCCTGAAGTTTGCAGCATTTAAAGAATATTTTAGGAATAAACTTGAGGAAGAGATTTTGAAAATAATGTACATGTTATTTTGCATGTTTGTAGTATAATGTAAGCTACTGATGTAAACTTAATAGCCATTTATTAATTTTTAGCCTATGTTTTTTTTCACAAATTGATGTAAGCCTAAATGGAAATAAAAATGTGAGAAAAAAACTTTTTGCGAATTGAAAAAATCAGCTAGTTTCAGTTATGTCACGGTGTCTTTGTGAGGAATGCTTTTTTAAAAGCCAAAATGGTCAAGTGTCGTCTGACGTGACATCTGACGTCACAATGAAAACTTAAGGGATGAAGTGAGTGCTGCAGAACTAGACACCAAACGCTTGTAATTAATAGCCCAGTACATTCTAAAATGGAAATGTCATACTCTCTAATCTAAGAATATTCATAAGAATATTTTCAGCCTAAACTCTGCAGAAAAATAAAGAATATTCAGCCTGGGCTGGAAAAGAATATTCTTATGAAAAAGAGAGTGTATTTGTTTACGTGTGATATAGATCTTACAATGTGTGGTTCCAGAAAATATCCATGCATGACCCTGAGGAGGATATTGGAAATTCCAAGGGTGCCCAGGGGATCTCAAAAGCCAACATTTTTAGAAAGTTAAGTCTGCATCTAACTGGAATTTCCACAGGGATGGGCAGGGGGGTTTCCAACCCCAAAACCCTTCTGTTGGAGGGGCATGGATATTTTCTGTAATGTCCAACACAATGTTGATGTAAATAAGTTTTCTGCATACATTTTACGCTCTTATATAAATTATTCTGGGGGAAAAAGGGAGAGAATAAAACTAGTCAGAGTGCATGCACAGTACAGTTGGATCTCGCTAATTCAAACTCAGTTATTTCGAAATCCCCGTTATTTTAAACTCAAAACCATTTCTCTTGTATTTGCCCTTCAGTCTTTAACTATTGGCTATTTCGAACCACTACTTTTCCTTTCATTTGAAAGTTTGAAATTTAGTTGGGTTCAACTGTATATCTAACAGGTTCCATATTAATATTAAATGATCAAAAAGGTAAATTAAACACACTGTTCCAAAGAGTAATCCATTTACTCCCCCTCCAGAGATCAGCCCTCCAGAATTTCCAACTTAGAACCATCCATGCGTCGGTTACCCTCGAGCAGAGTCTCCTTCAATCTTTCACTCTGCTTGCAGGGTACCCATAGGCTGGATAATTTATTTGACAGACCTGCCTGCAGTTTGATTAGAATGAAAGATTATTATTTATAAAATAATGCTTTTATTGAATATATAACTACATTGTACAAGGCTATGAACTTCTTGGAATGGATAAGCTTCCAGCCAAAGGTCCTGCATTATTGATATATTACCATGGAGCATTACCTTTGGATATGTATTACATACTGGCTAGACTACTGCTCTGCAAGAAGAGACGGCTAAGAAATGTAGCAGCCACATTTCTATTTCATATACCAGGTAACTTTCAACTTTGAACACTGTTTGAAAATATTAGTATGCTTAAGAAATAATAATAATGATAATTATCATAATAAAAAACACTTTCATATGTTTCTATTATGATTTATAAAGTAACTGAGACCCTGCACATGTTCTCATTGGTCATTAGGTATGTTTAGATGAGAGTATGTAAACACGATTGTGATGTTTTCTATTCGCACAGAATTTTGAGAAATGATGCAAGCAGTAGTCAGAGTACTTTTTCTGTGTTTACACATAGCCTCATCTACACCTGGTAGGTTGGAAGAATTCTTGAAAGTTATGCAAACCCCTGACTGCATCTTCAGGGTTGGCATAACTGTCTTGAATTCTCTGAACCTCCCATCATGTTTAGATGAAGCTCATATATAGTGCTCGATTGCTTAAATAGAGGCATGAGTGGAAGTTTGGGACAATGAGAAATGCTATGGGAACACAAGCCCCAGTCAAGTGTTTCCACAGCTTATTTGAGCTCACCCAAACTGTCATGTTATTCCAAATGGAGGCCCTCAGATAAGTCATTCCTCCGGGCTATTTGCATGGCAAAAAAAGTAAAGTCTGCATATGAGCCAAGTGGCCCATCAGGCTGGAGCTTATCTCAGTCACTGTATGAAGTGACTAGGAGTATTTCTACTCCTCTTGGATGGGATGCTAGTCCATTGCAGGGTTACCCCCTGCATTAAATTTGCAGGTACCCATTTGTACACCTGGGTGGAGAGAGGCACTGTAAGAGTATGGTGTCTTACCCCAGAACAAAATGCAGTCCCTAGCCAGGGCTCAAAACCGGACCACTCAATCCAGAGTCAAGCACACTAACTGCATGACGCCACTGATCGAGCAGGCCTTCACAGGCTACTTGCCATTCTCCTCCCCAGAGGCCGTGCTCCTTTTGGTGAGCACTAAGAATCACAACCCTCTGGGAAGGTCCAACACCTGAAGTCCGCAATTCACAGACTTCCTGTCACTCTGCACATGTTCAGAGTCAAGTTTGACAAATCTGATTAGCTGAGAAGATGCAACAATTACATGTACTCTGCGCATACTCAGAAAATTGGACCTTTCCAGAGGTTTTGATTCTTGGTGCTGACCAAAAGAAGCATAGCCTCTGGGGACAAGAATGGCTACTTACATAATGAGCCTTATCAATTCACACTGACCTGGTTATTTTGAACTGGCACTATTTTGAACTAACTTTTTTTCTCTCCTGACCCTTGTAATATCATGTTTACTTAGGAATTCAGTTGCTCCTTGAAGTCTGTGGAGCTGTCGAGGGACGTTCAAGAGAACAATGTGTAGAGATTCTTAAGGTTTGATACCCTTTAACTTCAATTTTACTAATAAAAGTATACTACAACTGCACACTGCTAAGCTACTCAATATCTACAATAGAATAGATAGTAAATTAATAAGCATCCTAGCCAATCAGAGAATGGCAATCGTGATAGGATGCTAGTAGATAAATTTATGATAACTATTAATACATGTAGATGTTTGTCCTTGGAGTTTACTACTGCTCAGAATACAAGGTTACCATAATAATTATACATCAATCGATATCTCAGATTTGTGTTATCTTGACTTGAATGTCGACCAACATGTTTACCATGTGTCAGTTGACACTCAACCAATGTTCTTTTCCCACTTACTAATAACAGTGCATTCAAGTAAATCTGTAAGTTATTATGCAATACTTTTTTTAGAATGGTGAATTATTGGCCATTTCTCCAGGAGGGGTCAGAGAAGCTTTATTTTCTGATGAATATTACACAATGATATGGAATGGAAGACGTGGTTTTGCTAAAGTAGCACTTGAAGCCAAAGTGGTGAGCAATTAATTAATATGTAATTTTTTTTTTTGCGTGAACTGAATCAATACTATAACAATAAAACTCCAACTGGCTAGCCTACCCTCAGTAAAGCCTCCCCTGAAAATAAGGCCCTTAATGGCTACAAATCAAAGACACATAGCTGTCTTAGCCCCCTTGGAGTGTGGTTAGTATGGAGGTACAATTTCTTTTTACTTAAGGCCACCACACTGTATAATTTCACATATTGCAGTATGTGATGCCAGAAACTACATAAAAACTATTTAAACTTTTAAACTAGGGGGTATCAATTTAATAGGTGCCAGTGAATTTGATGTCGCGGAATAACCCTGCCGTGGACAAGAATCATATCCATGGAGCGGTAGAAATACTCCTATATGTGTATTCACCAATGCTACAGAAACTGGGATAAGCCGTCAGTCACAACATGGGCCACTTGACACAACACAGACTTTGTCATGTAAATGTGACTGTCATGCTGTCCCTCCCTGGTTTCTTCCCTGAAGTTGTTTTACTAGTACAGTGTACTTGAGACTTTGTGAATTCATAATACAATTGTAACAGGAACCTTTTATTAGTAAATGTAGAAAAAAAATGTACCTTTCATACTCGTTTTCTCTTCCTTTTCTCTACAGCCCATCTACCCAGTGTATACCCAAAACATTAGGGAAGCTATCCGCTCCATTCAAATTGGGCGCAGTAAGTGAAAAACTTAATTTACATTTTTAAAATTGTTTACCTTGGTATACTGCATCCTTGGAGACCCAGGGGCAGATAGCAGGCTCAGGAGGAAATTGAATGGGCAAATTAGCAACTTGTGCATAAAAGGTTACAAGTAAACTTTTGAAATTTCATTTGCACCAAGGATGTGTAAACTGTAATATCTACTTTTTGTTTGTTCATTTGCTCGTTCATGTTATTTATCCTGGTCCAAAAAGTAAAATATGTTCTTGTTGCAGAATGGTTCCGCAAGCTATACGAATGGACTAAATTACCTTTAGTACCACTGTATGGAGGATTTCCAGTCAAGTTAAGGTATAATTTATTGTCTGTAGTACATACAGTAAAGTAAGACCACATATACTTGCTTGCTATCCCCAGTAAAAATAAAGGAGTAATCATGTCGTGATAAAGGTGTGATCATGGAGAGTGATCATGCTGTTATCATGGGTAAAAACTTTTTATGATTGTGGTGGCAAATAATTGAGATGAATTTAACATAGTATGTACTAATTCATGATAAATGCTGCTTTTATGTATGCAGTCACTCGCACGAGGTCATGCATCTCAATTCTTTGAAACTCTGATGTTGATGTGACTAATCTGATATGAAAGACTTGAGCGTGTTAGTAGATTTTCTGGAAAATTTGACAGGTCTTGCATACATGTATGCCAATGAAAATATGTTTTCATGTTTTAGAACTTTCATAGGAAATCCTGTGTACTATGATGCTAAAATGACTTGTGATGAACTGGCTGGAAAGGTGAGGAAAAGTTTTCAGTTACAGTTATGTACTAGTTTCATGGATTCATGATCAGGTCTGCGGACTTTCTAGAGGTTAACAGGATTTGCAACTTCTGTGGAGGCAAATATTGTTGCCAGTTATGTTCCCTATAAAACTAGACATGGTAAAAGCTGTGTTTGGAACAAGTAACACAGAATTAGTGTTCATGAGCTCTTGAAGTTAAATGATTGTTTGTGCAAATAAGACTGATAATTGTAACAAAAACATCTATCAGTGGTTTTTTTTTCAATTTCTCTTGGTGTTTTCTACTGGTTCAGGTCCATATAAAGAATTATTGTATATTGTGTGGGTTTGGGAGAGTGTGAAAAAGCTGTGGATTGACACCTACTGCTTGACATGTCTCTGAAGAATTTCTTGTTCTCCCAAACTTCCACTTGTGTTTCTATAGCTTGGTAAAATATGTACAAGTCACAACATTTTCTTTTAACATTATTACTGAATTTTGTTAAAACAGTGTTAGCAGTATCTTTAGCTATCTTTTGTATCTGAAGCTGGACTCCTGATCAAAAAAAAAATGATGTTACAATGTGTACTATTTTTTTGTTATTTTATTTATTTTTTGATCAGTGTCAATCCTGGTTGTCACAAATATGCCTGAATAACTGCAATGACCACCATTAACATTTTAAAATTATCGTTAAGAATATTTTGATGAAATAGAATAATCAAGAGTCTTGGAAACCTTCACACTCCATCATTTAATGATAGATCAGTTATCTAAGAAATTGGTATACGAGTCATATTCTGGATTATAATCCGTTGAATATTTTTGCTCTCACAGAGTCAGTTGGTCTAATTGCGTCATGTGATTGAATATGCCCCAGCTAAAATTGGGGAATATCCAAGTGATATTCCCCAGTTTTCAAAACTGCACGTTTTGCAAAAAATATTAGAAGGATGATAACACATAATACAATAGCCTCCATTTGGCACAAAAATATACTCAGATATTTGTCCTTGGACATTATCTGTTCCTCAAAACTCACAGTTTTTCTTGAGCTGTGCTCTCAGAAAACTGTTTGCTTCTCGGAAAAGATAACGTCTGCAGACAAATATCCAGGTATGTTTGTGCACCAAATGGAGGTCATTGTCTATTTATTCCTGCCATAACTAGACTTGTCATCAGAGTATTATAGAATTTTTCCTGACCTGAAGTCCCGTTGTGGATAAATAAGAGAGTTTAATGAAATCAAATAGAAGCACCAGAAATTGATTTGAATTTCCAACCCCACCTAGGTTCAGAGGGAAATCCAGGAAATGATTGTGACTCACCAGCAATTACCTGGGAGCATCTTTGCAGCTCTGCAAGATAGATGGCACTTCACAAAAGATAAAAAGCAAATGTAACTTACTGGATATAGATACCACAGATGGCAAATTATTTTCTTTTAAACAACCTTGTTTGTTCAAAACAAAGATAATTATTGTTATCAATATCGTAACTTTCCTAACTATAACAAGAAATAACATGCAAACTGCATGCGGTGATAAACATGACAATATATAAGGTGCTGTTGGAAAACAAAAATTGTCTTCAGAAGTGACCTTTGAGAATATAACAACAGTTACTAACCTTAAATTCATATATAAGTGAAACTTATATATGAACTAATTATTTAAATAAATTTAATATAATTAACTAATTGATATTAGAGTAGACTATGAGTAGTCCCTCTTTCATTTAATCTGTCAAGTGTGACCATAAATAGACCCTGAGAAAAAAGGCCACCTGCCATCTTTTTCTTGTTTTTTCTTGTTTTTTTTTTGCATTACACATGACTGACTAAGTGAAAGAGGGACTACTCAAAGTCTAATATTTGATGAACAATAAAAATGACAGAGCTGAAACATTTGCATATTAAAACAAAAAACACGCAAGCTTTTAAAAAGAGATTAAGCTTTAAAGATATAATTTTTGTTTTCCAACGATGCATTTTATTGTCATGTTTGTCACCATAGTTTGCGTGTTATTTTTTGTTAATTGAAAGCTACATCATGGCCAAAGAAAAAGAGTAATTTCCTAACTATATGATCTTCAAATGCAAGTTTAGCTCACTATTTATTACTAGTCATGCACATGTAGAAACATAATTCTCAGCTCTGACATGACATTTATAAATTGCAAAATCAAAAAAGCACGGACATGAGGAATTTTTGTGGAACGGCTTTGCCTTGAGAGAGCAAACAAATCAGATGTGGAAGAGGTAACTATGGGCCTTGACAGTATCACCATAGACCTACCTGCTGCTTGGTTACACAGCCAACTCATCAACGTCAAAACGTCATCAAATGTTTCACTCACACTGGCTTTTGGATTCATACAGTAAACTAGGTAAGCTCTTCTCTAAAATTATATTTGCTCTTTTCTTTTACTTCTTATCTTAGTATTTTACCATTGCTTTCTTTTGGTTAACCCTAGACATGGGTGGCAGAAGGTGGGGGGGGGAGGTAGAAGGGTTATGAATTCTTACTAGGGAGCAAATTGATACTGAAAGTGGGTTTTGGTAACATTGTGATGATAATGATTCTAATTTTATTATTAATTATTTATTTTGTTAATACTTCTATTTTGAGAAAACCTTTTAATACAAAATTGACAGCCTATGTAAGGTACTTTGTAAATCAGGTGGATTCAAAATGAAATTACAATATATTATAATTATTTGATAATTTCTTGATAAATATTGTTTTTATGCAAGTAATTAAAATAATTCTTTAGAGTTACTACACTACACCTAGGATAGTGCATGATTGAATTAGGCTAAATAAAATATATTTTACATATAATTTGATTATTAAGAAACTTTTTTGAATTTGTGAAACAGTTGTGTATAGCTGACATTTATCAGCGCTGTTTATAGTATACATATTTACCATAATTAATTAATTATAATTAATATTTCAATAATAATTATTTTTTAATATGTAATGAATGGGAAGGGAATATGAATTTATCAAAATGATAGTTAATTGTATTGTATTTATTTTCTTACAAAACAATATAAGACCAAAACAAATGTTAAAAAAAGAGTGGGCCAGATAGGCCATAATATAGACATTTCTAAATAATATATTTATCAAAAAGAACAGTCTTTTATACTTTGTAGATAAATTATTTCCAAATGCTTGATTAATTATTACAGATTGAATTCTATCAGTAATAATTTAATATATTAATTAATTATTTACTGACCCAACTGTTCCAACGTTCTTGAACTATCCAAAATTATTTTATTATTATGAATAAAACTCCCTTTTTGACACCCTTTTTGTTCATTATATCAAATTGTCTGCTTGAACAAGTCACTGACAGGATGAACAATTCCACCACTGGCACCATTTATGGACTTCATTATTTAAATAGGAGACTTAATCGTTCGATGCAGGTTTTTCTTCCTTTTCAGTGGCCGAGAGTCAACCACGTGACCTGCAAATAACTGCCTGCAAATAAGGGTTTGCTCATGCGCAATACCGTGTAAATGTGTAACCACGCTCTCGGGTAAAAAATGGCAGATCGCTTCCCTGAGCTGTCAGAGAGCATGCAAAGAGTGATTTCGGCTTCGGCAAATAATTGATCTGCTCGCCACTGAAAAATCACAGTATTTTGCTCAACCTCGTCGACGTCCAATAAATTCCAATTTAGTAAATTTCCTTGTCGCAAATTTTCTGTTGTGACACAACCACTTCCACGATATAGTTAGGAAGCGCGAACTGTGACCTTTTCACCAGTTAAATGCGAGACGTTTTGCGCTGAAGCAAAGGGTTGGCGCAGAAAAGGTTGGTGTACTTATTTAGTAAAGTTCGTTGTCACATTTTCTGTTGTGACACACAACCCCTTCCATGATATAGTTAAAAAGCGTTAACTGTACTGGGAATCTCTGGATTACCACTGACTCGTTTACTGATGTTTGTACCAGTTGAATGGGAGAGGTTTTGTGCTAAAGCAAGGTTACAGTAAGGTTGAACAAGAAGACGTTTCCAGAAGGTGTGGTCAATGGAAGAAATTCCTTGCCCATCCTCGCTCGGTACTCACGTCTCTTCAGAACTCTAACAATAGCCTTGCTTTGCAACTGAGGACAACCTTGAAAGAAGTGATTCATAATGTTAAATATCTTTAATACAACAGCTGAAACAAATCTTCTATTAACGCTGCACCACTGCCCTAGACACGGCAAGTCTTCGTGGTGGTCTGGATATCTCGTTTAAACGCGGGAAGTTGTATCGAAGTCTCAGTTGCTCCTGGCATTGTTCTCCAATTTTCCCACATGTATCGGTGTTGTGGCAAGTACGGTCAAGGTTACTGAATTCGATCGCAGCATGAAATGGCCCTGGACATCCCGTTTAGCAAACAATCGTTCAACTCTGACTAGAATTGAATTACACGACAGCGCAGTGCAATGTGTGCTTGTGTCTGGTTCAACGCAAAAACATTTTTGTATATATGAAGAAGTATTTTTACCCAGACAATGTCAGAGTTTCCCCGTTCCACTTGTCATTGCGAATATCTTTGTGGGGTCCGACGCTGAAAAGCAAAACAAACAAGCCAAAAACAACATCTAATCGCATACATATAGTTTCCTTTTGACTACTTACTTTTTCTTGTATAATTAATGTAACAAATGTAATATCTGTGAGAGAATTGTATCTGGGGTCGGCGTTTATTTGTCTTGCAGCGCCCGTCACCCCCTAGCGACGAAACAAATAGTTTGGTGAATGAAATTATTGGAAAGGCCTTTTCAAAACAGCGTCTGGAATTTCACATACCTGCAGCCATGACAGGTAGTAAGTGTTCTGCTCTCCCCACTTACCAGGCTAATTATGGCTACCGCAAAACCTACCGCAAAAGTTTCCTGTCATTTCTAATCCATTAGTCATCCAACTCCAACCCCAACTCCTCCCTCTTTCTAAAATATTTGAAACATCATCAAGAAAAAGCCTCGGAAAATATCATATAACACTCTACTGTAAGGCCCTGCTTACACGGGTCCGGACAAACTTTTGCACTGACAAAAACTTGCACGATTCCACCATGCGTTTACACGGGACCGGCGGAACTGGACGAATTTTTGAACGGCTAAACCTGCGTAGCTAGCTGGCGGTTTAGTTGGGGTACTTGAACGCGCGAGCAGGCGGCGAGAGCGGCGATGCCACGTGGAGTCTGGTGGGAGAAACACAAAACGGACTGACAATATCTTGAGACTAAGTGAAAACCATCAAAGCATGCATGGTAACCAATTTTAAAAGTGATTATAATTCATTATAGTAAGCGGCATCTGATTGCCGGACGGAGAAGTCGTATTGATCATGGAAAAGAAATGATTTGTTCGTTAAATAGTTATTCAAGATAACTATATGAATACGATCGGCCCCAATTTCACGAAAAAAATCCACTACCACTGGTCGATAAAAAGGACTTGTCTTACAGGAAACCGCTATTTAACACTGAAAATACTTTTCCACAATTATCACTCGAATCCGGTCTTGGGCCGGGCTTATTAGTAAGTTAAATTTGCCAAAGTGTTAAAACCGAACTCTTTTAAAATTGATGGTTAGAGGTCGAGGAAAGAGAAGCGAGAACTGCCAGATTTTGCCATGTCATAATCGTTAAAAATAGAGCCATTTGACAGTTGCGTAGTTGTTGGAAGCTTGAAGTATTTTTTCCTCATTCACTTGTGATACTGCCAAATAATCCAAATGCCACATAACAGAGACCTTATTCTTCTTTTAAATGCCACAAAATCTGAAGATAAGCTGGTTCTGAGAATCCCGCTGTTTCCAAAATACAGGCGGTGGCTTTGTAAGGCTTCGAGCAAGTTCGAAAAGTCACCATGCATGTATCCAGCAACGCCTGGTGAACTCAAATTTGCAGTGTTGATACGTAAACCATTTTGCGCTCTCTCGACCACGTGTAACTAAAGCATGGTGATTTTCACACCCATATACGAAATGACGTCATTCGTTTTCCGAGAATTGCTGAACCGGAAAACCATAACGCTTTTAGTCACAAACACAAACCTTATCGTGCATTTCTGCTTGGACAAAATGTATATCACGCCAATCTCTTTCACAGACTTATTCTACTCATTATGACTACAAACCGCAAATTTTTCCTGTTTAGATGTTGGGTTGTCTGAGAGAAGCACTACTTGCCTACAATCCCCNCCCCCCTCCCCCGGAGAGCGAGCTCGCAGGCGGAAAACGACACTGTTGGTGTGAGAGGTTTTTCGTAAAAAAAAAAAAAGAAAAAAAATTCGTCTGTAACACTTGTCGAAGGAAAACCATTCCTAATATGAAAAAAAGTCTGAAAATATCATAAAACCCTGTACTGTAAACCTCTCACGACACCTTAAGAATAAGTGAAACCCATATCAAAGCGTGCGTGGTATCCAATTTAAAGTGATTATAATTCATTATAGTAAGCGACATCTGATTGCCGGACGGACGGATCGAATTGATCATAGAATAGAAATAATTTTCGTTAAATAGCTATTGAAATTTGGATCGTTCAAGATAAATCAATGAATGCGATCGGCGCCACTCTAACGAATAAAGCCACTGACCAATACATCATAATCTCCAATTCTGACAAGCCTGCTGGTAAAAATAACTCAGACTTGTCTTACAGGAAACCGCTATTTACTTACACGACGGGCATTTGAGAACACGAGGGAAATGTAGAAAACACGAGCAGCACGCGAGTGTTTTCTACATTTCTCGAGTGTTCTCAAATGTCCGGAGTGTTTTATCACAGTATAATACACGGCTTAGGCTTCTTCATTTGCTTTATGATATAGAGGTAATGTGGCGAAAAACAGTAAAACACGCTTTTTCTATGTTTTTATACTCTGATAAAACATGGTTTTATGACCAATCAGAGCGCGCGCAGAATCCTCCCTATATTATAATGCTGAATATCTCCACAATTATCACTCGACTCCGGTGTTGCATTGGCCGGACTTATTAGTAAATTAAACTTCTAAAGGTTTATAACTAAATCCGAGCTCTTTTAATTTTATAATTGACGGTTAGAGGTCGTGAAAAGGTACACGAGAACTGACAAGTTTTTTCATGTCATAATCATTAAAAATAGAGCCATTTGAGAGTTGCGTAGTGGTTGGAAGCTTGAAGTATTTTTTCCTCATTCACTTGTGATACTGCCAAATAATCCAAGTGCCACATAACAGAGACCGTATTCTTCTTAAATTTAATGCCAAATGATCGAAATGCCACAAAACCCGAAGACAAGCTGGTTCTGAGAATCTTGTTGTTTCCAAAATACAGGCGGTGCTTTTGTAAGGCTTCGAGCAAGCGTTGTTGTATCCAGCAACGCCTGGTGAACTCAAATTTGCAGTGTTGATACATAAACCATTTTGCGCTCTCTCGACCACGTATAACTAAAGCATGGTGATTTTCACACCCATATACGAAATGACGTCATTCGTTTTCCGAGAATTGCTGAACCACAAACCTTATCGTGCATTTCTGCTTGGACAGAATGTATATCACACCAATCTCTTTCACCGATGTATTCTGCTCATTAACGACTACAAACCGCAAATTTTTCCTGTTTAGATTTTGTTGTCTGAAACACGACTTGCCTACTATTTCCCCCCGGAGAGCTATTATAACTTGGAGGCTGTAAAGTCTGTAAACGACACTGTTGGTGTGAGATGTTTTTCGAAAAAAAAAAAAAGAAAGAAATTCGGTTGCCTACCGCGTTGCCTTGTTGCCCCAGATTTTTTTTAATCCAGCGGCTCTCAGCTCCCCGAAAACCAAACAAGGAGCCATATAAGTAGATCATCAATGGTGAATTTTGAACCTTTGGCCCCCGCGTGTGACGTCATAGGATTTTCTGAGGAGACGCAATGCCCGCAAACCGGCAGTCTGATGTGCGTAGCAGTTGTCACCATTCACGTAACGTGGGGCGCGACTGCTTTGCATGCATGCAGTTAGGCAAATCCGGAACACGAATGCGGCTCGCGTCTCATTTTGCTGAAAGGATTTGTGATGTTGATTAAAATACGTGCGCTTTTCTGTAGTCGACCAGCTGTTTCCACGCCTGTAATGACCTATAATTAATCGGGAACTTCTTTCACCAGCTTCGCTTTAAGTTATTTGCTACTGTGGATTTTTGTCGTATTGTAGCGCGCGATAAGGTTTTTATGAACTGATGGGACGCATGCTCTGATCTCTGACTGATTTTTGACATACTTTTGTGGCGGGTTTAGCATTGAATAAGGTTAAAAATAACGCAATTTAGTAGGAACCTTTTCCACTCTAAGACGGGGAGGCCTGTCACATGCTTTAATATTGTCCCGCTCTCCTGAAAACCCGCTATTCAGTCTCCGAGCAGTCAGAAAATTGCTCGCTATTTGTAACTTTCCACCCAACTTCATTCCATTTTTAGCTGAAGAACCTTTTCTGTGATTGTATTTCGAGCGGTTTTACATGTGGTATACACGTTTTAGCGACCAGCAGAGAGCACGTTGTACATCGTGACGACGTGCGCATTCCTTACTCATTCCTGGTACATGACATCGCGTTGGAGTCGTCATGTGAACTGACGTCATAAATGTAAGTCTGCTCATATTATTGAGCTTATTGACCTTGTTTTACAAAGGCAAATAGTGATGTCTTTCATCGTGACTAAATGCAAACTAAATGCAAACATTACAGAATGTATGTCGTATTTCCGGACTATATATGGCTAGGTCAATAGAGAGGATGTTGTTTTAATTTTTTTCATTGTTTGGGTATCGTTTTCATCAATTTCAACCAAAATAGTTTCGATCCCAGTGTAAACTGATTGATGAGTGGCTTTTAAGATCTTTTGACAGCCGCGCATGCGATTCTCTTCAGATCACTGTAAACTTGAAACCTTAACGAAAGTATCGTACTTCAACGCTGTCAGTCCATAAAAGAGAGATCAGCGAGCGCTGACTGTCATATGTTTCGAAAGGTCACTGAAGCGTGAACTAACATAGTTGAGCTTTGAAATCGATTATTAGGTCCAACAAAAAGAATGTTCTCCAAGCTGAGCCCGAGTTTTGCTCGAAAAGCTGGACACCAACAGCTTACAGGGAGCGACGCGGACGAGAAGGATCGCATTATTGCCGGGGTTCAATACAGTGTGCGCTACATTGGTTCTACAGAAGTCGCTGGAGCGAACGGTACAGGCAGCGGAAAGACTGAAAAACCCGTCGCGAAAATCTTCGAGCAGCAAAGCAAGAAAAACGATGGCAAAACGCAGAAGAAAATGGTCTTAACGCTGTGCTCTAAAAGCCTCAGCGTTAGCGAGGAGGCGTGTGGCAAGCTGGTCGCAAATTTCCCCATCTCCAAGATAACGTTTTGTAACATCGACAGCTTTTATGAGAAGGCCTTTGTGTTTGTCGCACGAGACAGGCCGGAGAGTGCCTTCAAAGCATTTGTCTTCACGTGCGAGAACAAGGCCAAGGCAAGAGAACTTTTCAAGGCGCTATCGTTGGCTTTCATGATCAACTACGAAAGCTACCAAGCGTCTTTGATACGCGGTGCGCCTACTAGCGGGTTGCCGGCCGTGGAAAGCAAAGAAACGTGTTTCGACGGAATGGCGGGCGAAACCGCAACTGATCCGCAAGTCTCAGATGAGAACAGTGAACAATTGCACCTCAATGTAGTGTCACTCTCGCCTAAATATCCTTACGTGGCTGTTTCAAATGGTTCACAACCTCCCCAAGAGACCAAAACCCCGAAGCCACTGGAACCCATGCAGAATAAAAATCTGCTTCGAGTAATCGCGGATTGTCGCTTGAGAAGTGCCTCAGATCTACCACCTTTTGCGGGCAGAACGAGTGCTTCAGCCATCACTAGCTTGCCAGAGAACCGTCCGTCTTTACTGAATCCTGTGTCGCTCAAGATTGGCGATGAAATGGAAGAGGAGTTTACTGAATTTGCTGAACTCAGGTCCAAATGTCGATCAAGTTCCGCGCTAACAGTGAGGAACCACCCCGGAAGTCTTTCCCAAGGTGTCCACCTCTTCGACAGCGCGCCAAATGTATGGGGAAGTTTCCAGAACCACACATGCTTGCCAATTCACTGAACTGTTGAACTGAACAACCTTGTTCGACGTGGTTATTTAGGATGCTTCGTGTTAACGGTATATTTAATGTAAAGGTATTTTATAAGACAACGGTAAGCGGCGAATTTCCCACGCGATAGAATGTAAACAGAGAACAATGGCTAATTAGTGGTATCTTTCAAACTCATAAGGTTTGAGTGGAATGTACGCAGCTAAAAGAAAGCCGATTAAAACGCGTATCAGTGCGTTCATTGAAGCGATAAATATGCGTGCATCTCGTGGTATGTGTGAATAAATGAGCGAAAATTAATTTAACAAGAACGGTGTGAAAAAATAATAACAGCTTAAAAATAACGTGCTGTGACAGCCCCTGACT